CCCCCCCCCCCGCCCAGGTCACCTATCCCATATAAGCAATTTCCCTTCCTAGCGAGAACAACGGATTTCAGGTACTTGACTGCCAGCTTCGCGTTGTATCCGTCGACAGCATTGCTCAATTTAAAGTTCCTCCGATACACAATCTGTCACTCTCGATGTTCAATTGGACGAGATCTGGTGTTGTACGCTCGCTGTCCCTTCCTATGCGGCTCGCCTAGTCCCTTTATCAGCTTGTCCCTTATTAACGCAAGTCGATCTGGCATAGATAAAATCTCTGCTTGGGTTTCACCCAGTGAGCCTACTCTTCGGAGTATATCGTACGCATTCCCATATTGGATCATCGTCTGCCCAAATACGGCTTTATATGGTTCCATATCAATCGCTTCGTGAATTGCGCTACGCAGCGCGAAAGCCGCTTCAGAGACGTACAATTACGATGATCTCCCCCAGTCAAATACGTTCGAATTATGGTAAGCAGGGATCGGTTCACCCGCACCGATGCATTGGCCTGCGAAACGTAAGGCGAGGTCTTGACATGTTTAACACCATACTCTTGTAAAAACTTTGCAAAGTATTCGGACGTAAATTGTCGGCCGTTGTCAGAGTGAATGACTTCCGGAACACCGAAAACGTGGAATATATCCCTTTCCAGATATTTCGTCACCTCCTGCGCTGTGGCGTGCCGCACAGTCTTAAAAAGGACAAATTTTGACAGATGATCTACTACCACGAAGACGTAAGCATTTCCCGAGCGGGAACGCGAATCGCCAGCAGCTATGTACGGAAGCGAAAACTAGGTCAACGACCGGAGTACATAATACTGTTGTACATTTTTTTACAAAAAGACGATGCAATAAGTAAAGAGAGAGGAGTCAAGAACGCACATATGTACAAAGGGGAAATACAAGGAAGGCGACATACATAAGAGAGACGGGAAGGGAGATACACTCACGCAGATATACATAGTGACCCGCAACTGAGGACCGTTGGAAAACACCAAACGAGAGCTTCCAAATGCTTTTGGCATAGATCGCGCTGCGCTCGCGGGCTCTCGTTTGCTTTTCTTTGGTTTTTATACCCGAACGCACTTNTTTTAGACGAAAAATAAGAATATTATACATTTTTGGAAAATGGGCGTAGCCACGCCCACTTATGGATACATGTGTATATCTTGGTAACCGCTGCACAAATTTCTTCCAAACTTGGCACAGTTGTTAGCCTTGCTACAGCATACCAAATTTAAAATCGGACAATAACCACGCCTACCTCCCATATAACGGTAATTTGGAGAAATACGAAATCTTCGATAAATCAATAAATATTAAAGCTAATTTACTCAAAATTGATGCTTGCAACAATTCTTTCAAGAAATACGTTTATGATCAAATTTTGGAAAATGGGTGTGGCACCGCCCACTTATGATCACATATATGTATCTCGGTAACCGTTCTACCAATTTGTACCAAACTCGGTATGATTATTGTGCTTGCCCCATGGAAGCAAAACGTTGAAAATTATTGGAATCAGATTCAAATTACGACCACTTTTCATATAACGGCAAATTTCAGAAATGCTTGAAACTTCAATATTTCGAAATTTAAGGACGCTAATTTATTAAAAATTTATACACAGCGGCTTACCATGTAGCGGTACCTGCGCCGGGTATTTAATGTTCGGCTCCGCCCGAACTTAGACTTTCTTACTTGTTTTATTTTGCTACTTTTGGTTTTTCGGTGATAAGAAATGAAAGGGATGCTACTTTACTTCACGCCGATATTAATAATCTTAATCTTTGGTGCATAAAATCACGCCTTTCTTTAAATATTAAAAAGTGCTTTAAAGTAACTTTTGCAAAAATTCATAGTGCTTTATCAACGAGTTATACAATCGCGGAGTCTTTGCTAGAATCTGTCGCCGAGGCCAAAGATCTTGGCGTCATTTTTACTTCAAATTTTTCTTTTACTAGGCATTTTAATATTGTGATTTCTAAATCCTTCTCTGTTTTTGGTTTCGTGAGGCGGAACTGTGTACAATTCTCTGATCCCTATACTATTAAATTACTACACTCATCTTTTGTTCGTCCCATTTTGGAATATGCTACATTTATTTGGAGGCCATTCCACAAAACTTTCATAAATAGATTAGAACGTGTCCAAAAGGTGTTTCTTAAGTTCGCATTGCGGTCCTTAAACTTTTCGTATCCTATGCCACCGTACAGTAGTCGTTTGCTTTCGCCTAACCTTAAGTCATTGGAAACGAGGCGTTCTGTATCTCCCTGACTTTTGATTTTAATATTATTAATGGTAGTGTTGATTGTCCTTTTCTCTTAGGTCGCATAAATTTCAACATCCCTCAGCGAGTCTTGCGTCACTTTTTGCAGTTCTATTGTGAAATCCACTTAACTGAATACGCGCGAAACGCCCCCTTGGTACGTACCTTAAATGAGTTTAATTTGAAATCGAATTCTATCTCACTTGATTTCTCTTACCCAAGAAATTAATTTATTAATCTTTTGTATTCTTTCTTTTGATTCTTGTATCTAGTTTAATCAATAGTTTTAGTGTCCTGCATATATTAATTTTGTAACTAGTCTGTATGAAACCACCGTTTCATAGACGAATAAATAAATAAATAAACATTTGTTATATATAGTCTAAAGTTTCTTCTACCGGGAGAGAATTTTCTTTTGCTTGCTTCTGAGTTTGTCTGTAATTTTGCTTTTATTTGGAATTTGCTTTGTTTTAGTTTATTTAGGCATTTTTCTTTACTATTTTTGCATGAAATTTAACGAGTTTGTAGTAATATTAAGTACATGGATTTCTTTAATACCTTGAATTTTTTTTCATATGTATGTATTTACAAGTTTGGTAGAGTTACTATTTTGTTTTTTTTTTTTTTATATGCTTTCGCATAAAAAGTAGACGTTAGTGACAACTACATTTTGAGGTTAGGTTTGTTTTTTGTATCGATTTTGTTGGCTTACCACGCTGAGTCGGGGACATGGAGTTTTTTTGAGTAATTCAATTCCGGCGATTTTACCTCTCGCCCTCCAGTTTATTATATAAGATGCGTTTGCCGAATTCTTGAGAGGAAAAAAAACTCTTAATTCCGCGGATATATATTTCGAATTATCAGCAGCTATCCAAATGCAAAGCAGGCAATGTTCTCATTTCATTGAGGCTGTGAACTGGAATATGATATGTATGCATGTATGGTGAGTTGACAAACTCGTTTTTGACAACAATTTTTCAGCGACCTTTCCTACGGATGCTGGCGCCTTCATCAGAGGAGAGTGTGGTGAGTTGTAGTTCCGATTTTTGCTTATTATTTTTATTCCATCATATACGTAAATATAGACATTTATACATACTTTTATGTACTGCACGCCAATATATGCTTCTGAGTACATACTTGGGTTGTTTTGGTAGATTAAGCACAGCAGAGGCAATACCATTAAGATAGCATCCTTAATAATACTTTTGAATTCACTTGGTTTATATTTTCGACCTGACTTCCAAAAAAGGAAGAAGTTATCAGTTCGTCGGAATATTTTTTTTTTTTTTTTTTTATGTATGTTACCGCATAACTTTGTACCACGTAACCGATTTCGAGGTGGTCCCATATTAATCTGGTTGAGAACCGATCAGTGGATCATGAGATATATATATATATATATTTTTTTTATATGGGAGTTGAAGTCGGTTTTTTTTTGCTAAAAATTACTAGTTTATTATTATATTACTAGTAAATTAAGATACTTTTTCTTGAAATAGCCTTTANATATGGGAGTTGAAGTCGGTTTTTTTTGCTAAAAATTACTTGTTTATTATTATATTACTAGTAAATTAAGATACTTTTTCTTGAAATAGCCTTTTTTTATTGCATTTATGATCGCTTAGTGGAATAGGTAGATTATAAGGTGTAAAAACGATTGTTAAATAAATATTGTGCATTAAGAAGCATGCAGTGAACATTTCGTGTTAAGTTATTTGGGGATAATGAGCGGCTGAGTCTCTTTTTTCAGCTTGGTATGTTTGTTACACTAGTGCCATAAGAGGGGAAGTGGATACAGGGAAAGACAATGGGAAACTAACTTGGATATGACAGGACACTAGACCAGACGGACAGAAGTCGGGCTATGGGGGCTTCACGAAGGTATGGAGTCGAGGTGAAGTCCATAGCTACTTCGCAGTTAAGTAGATGGGGAGGGCTGACTCCGGCCTGAAAGGACGGTTCTTCTACTTTCTCTTCGCCTTTTTAAGGCACAACAAATAAGCCTAATATTCGTGTCTATTATTCGTTCCGTGTCCGAACTTCGTCTATGATAACATTACAATGCTGGATGATTTGCATACATATTTATGTCGTACTGTGTGCCGTCCAATGCAATGCTGTTTGTATGATTTTTCGTTTACACTTACTGTTCCTTCATTTGTTTATATTTTTATGTCCATTTCGTCTCGTTGTTTGGTTTGTTAAATCTTTTGTGTTTTGCGCACATTAGTCTACCAGGCGCAGCCGAATGTGTAAGTTGTGTTTATATGTATATAGTATGTTGATAGTCTTTTATGCAATTTTTGTAATTAAGATATTTATTGCAGTCCTGATGATGATTTCAGACTGAAGTCGAAATATAGAGGAATTAAAAACAACAAAAAACAGATTGTTTTATTTCAACCCGGCCTTGAGCTCAAAAAAATCAACAGAATCTTCAATTAACGGCCAAATATAAATAAACCATGTTAAAACGGAGGGCACCCCAAGACGACCAAGACACAGCAATGGGNACAGATTGTTTTATTTCAACCCGGCCTTGAGCTCAAAAAAATCAACAGAATCTTCAATTAACGGCCAAATATAAATAAACAATGTTAAAACGGAGGGCACCCCAAGACGACCAAGACACAGCAATGGGCTACAGAAAAATCAAAAGAGGATATAACATCAAAGCCAGAAAGTGCATCAAGAACTACCAACATTCTATAAAACGGATCACACAGCTATCGGAATCAACGAAATTCCTGGAGAGGTGCAGAAGAAATGGAGTAACTCCAAATTTTATCAACAACGCTACCAAAAACATCTTGTACACCATCAGCGACAACACCAACAACAACCAAATGTCGGCGACAATTTCTAACGCTGTAACTGCTTATATCGACAAGACAAAAGCCAAACTTTTAAATCTCCTCATTAAAATTAAATACGAACTTCTGCGGCAAAAAGAAAGAGAGGTAAATATGTTAAAAACAAGAATAAAACAAAACCTCAACTCACATGACTGTAATGCATTCTTCCAAAGTGAGGAACTGCTGACTAACACATTGAAACAAAGTATAAAAACTACCCAACTTGCTAAGTACGAAAACTTAAGACATAAACAACAACTACTTTTAAACATTAGGGTGATACCAGAATGGATCCGTAACACGACTAGCATACAAAATCCAACCGATATTCAGTGGCTTCTTTCTCTGGGTCCAAAATATGCCTTACCCATAGACAACAAACAATTTCCACTATTTAAAGTCATCGCAGACGGGGAGAACTATATACAAACAATTAAAGACAAAGACAAACAACAGATGGAAAGAAACAACTTGACAACACTGCTACGTGACTACCTCAACAAGACGACAACTTCAGTTAGAGATAAATTTATAAGTGATACCCTACGTTCCGCAAAAAAGTTTTTAGAAAATCATAAAGAGCTTTTGATCCTTAATTCCGATAAGGGCAATGTAACTGTGTTGATGGCTAAATCAGAATATGACAAAAAAATACAGACTATAATCAACGATATTTCCACATACAAAGTATTGAAACCTGATCCTACTAATAGACTACAGGACAAGAACAACGAAATAGTTGAGAAAATGTTCAGTAACAAAATCATTGTGGTAAAAGAAAAGAATGCGCTTTTGTGTAAAACAGCCAATCCACCACGAATCTATGGCTTACCAAAGATTCACAAAGAAGGAAATCGACTCAGACCTATTTGTTCGTCCATCAATTCCCCGTCTTACAATTTATGTAAATATGTCGTCAAAATCCTGAAAAATGTAACCATGTCCTCCGTATATAATGTCAAAGACGCAATCGAATTCAATAACAAGATCAAGGATACATATGTTTATGATGATGAGAGTCTAGTGTCGTTCAATGTTGTGTCATTGTTCCCGAGTATTGAGATATTTACTGCAGTCCTGATGATGATTTCAGACTAAAGTCGAAATACAGACGAATAAAAAACAACAAAAACAAATTGTTTTATTTCAACTCGGCCTTCAGTTTTTAATTTTTGAAATTTCTTAATGAATTTACTATTTAACTTTTGGGGATTTTCTGAGTGAATTGAATTGTCAGTGTATGATACTACACTTTTCCAGATTTTCATCTGATAAGAAAAGTTTATTATAAGAATCTTCGTCCGTTTGTTTAAACCCTTTCATATAAAAAGAAAAGAAAAAAAACCTAGATATTTGCTTAGCGATTCGTGAACCAGCACATTAGTGGATAAATTTCCCTCTTTGCATGTGTGTGTGAGCGAATGGATGAGGGTGAGTCTGAACAACCTGTTGCTGGTGGATTAGGGCTTTATAATACTAACAGACGAGTCACTAGGAGTGTCAGCAGGGCACTGGAAAACCAGGTGTTAGGGTCACTTTTAAATCAGATCGACACAGGGATCTCACGGGCAGTTGATTTCATTCCCACCGACAATTTTAACAGGTGTACTGCTAGAATATTCAGCACGTTAGGAAAAGAAAAAAATCTTTAACCCAGAGTAACGACGACTGAGGAAGTGTCCATTAACGAATCAAATAACAGNAAAATCCTGAAAAATGTAACCATGTCCTCCGTATATAATGTCAAAGACGCAATCGAATTCAATAACAAGATCAAGGATACATATGTTTATGATGATGAGAGTCTAGTGTCGTTCAATGTTGTGTCATTGTTCCCGAGTATTGAGATATTTACTGCAGTCCTGATGATGATTTCAGACTAAAGTCGAAATACAGACGAATAAAAAACAACAAAAACAAATTGTTTTATTTCAACTCGGCCTTCAGTTTTTAATTTTTGAAATTTCTTAATGAATTTACTATTTAACTTTTGGGGATTTTCTGAGTGAATTGAATTGTCAGTGTATGATACTACACTTTTCCAGATTTTCATCTGATAAGAAAAGTTTATTATAAGAATCTTCGTCCGTTTGTTTAAACCCTTTCATATAAAAAGAAAAGAAAAAAAACCTAGATATTTGCTTAGCGATTCGTGAACCAGCACATTAGTGGATAAATTTCCCTCTTTGCGTGTGTGTGTGAGCGAATGGATGAGGGTGAGTCTGAACAACCTGTTGCTGGTGGATTAGGGCTTTATAATACTAACAGACGAGTCACTAGGAGTGTCAGCAGGGCACTGGAAAACCAGGTGTTAGGGTCACTTTTAAATCAGATCGACACAGGGATCTCACGGGCAGTTGATTTCATTCCCACCGACAATTTTAACAGGTGTACTGCTAGAATATTCAGCACGTTAGGAAAAGAAAAAAATCTTTAACCCAGAGTAACGACGACTGAGGAAGTGTCCATTAACGAATCAAATAACAGTTTGAGCTTTTCGAGGAAAATAGACGAATTGTTCCAGATGTCAGATTCAGAGCAGCCAGGCGCTAGTGGAGGTGCTAATCCGGGGGGAAGTAACCAGCCTGGCTGCTCGGATGCTGGGCAGGCGAAGGCTACGTGTAGTGGACCACCCAGTTCAACTGCGACCAGTGTCGAACATCTGAGCCGAATGATGGTGCATTCAAACGACATGATGGCGCAGGGCATGGACGAGGTCCACAACATGCGAGCCGACGTGTCGAGCTTTAGCAACCGAGTCGCAGACATGGAAATTTCGGCCCAAGGTCTAGGCAACAGACCTCCGTTGAATCGACACCAGAAGCTAGGAGCCGTAATGAGGAAACCACGAACAGAAGGTCCAACGACGCGGTCGTGCTAGAAGATGCAAGAACAAACGGGAGAGAAGCGCAAGAACCACCCAAGTAGAAAAAGTTGGATCTCGATAAATTGCATATAAAATTCGATGGAACCGGAAAAGGAATAGCCGTAGAAAGCTTCATATTTAGGACAGAAAAGATGGGGGCCCAATATGAAATCTCAATCCACCAACTTTTTACACACTTCCATTGTTTAGTAACAGGCAACGCGGCAAAGTGGTATTACCAGATTCTCGAAGACAATGCCGACAACCCTTTATTTTGCTACTTTGAGCTGAAGACCGAGCTGCTGACCCAATTTAAAACTTAAAATTATAAGGAAAATAATGGAACGTAAACAGCAACAGCAGGAAGCGTTCGATGATTTCTATAGGGAAGTGCACAACCTCACCTTTAGATTAAGAAAGAAGATCCCAGAGAAAGAACTTGTAGGTATCATAAGAGGTAATTTGAAGCCATACCTGGCGAATTTAACATTTGCGATGAAGAGGAAGACATTGGTGGAATTAAAGACCGAGTGTAGGCGCGCGGCGCGGCTTATTAAAGAAAACAGGAGCCGATCCAAAATGGTTAGTGTGCTAGGGTACCCAGAAATGCCACCGCTGCACAGTGGTACCGTAGTAGGTCATTAGAAAAAAATATTGATGTGTCATTTTGACACCATATCTTGTCTAATTACTAACAAACTCTAACTGGGAATAGAAAAAAAATTAATTTTTTAGNAAAAAATATTGATGTGTCATTTTGACACCATATCTTGTCTAATTACTAACAAACTCTAACTGGGAATAGAAAAAAAATGAATTTTTTAGCGCTAAAGCTCCGTTTCAACCGTCGAAAGTGAAGATTTTCCATAAGTGCTTATTATTTCTAAAACTACACATTCTTTTAAATGAATCGTGGAGAAGATTTTGCTCAAAAATATTTAANACCGTCGAAAGTGAAGACTTTCCATAAGTGCTTATTATTTCTAAAACTACACATTCTTTTAAATGAATCGTGGAGAAGATTTTGCTCAAAAATATTTACTTGTCAGAACTTTTTTGATATGGAGCTGAAAGCTGAAGATATGCAGAATATTCCAAGTATGTATTTGATTTTTTTCTTCAAAGTGTCTTAATAGTAGTTTAAATATAATTTTAAATAAGCGGCAGAAAGTATAAAAAAAATTGCCTTTTTCGATTTATCAAAGCTTTTAATTACTTTTTGCCACAAATTGCTCGCATGATATTAGTACCAAAATGTTTGCATAGATCTCTAGTTTCAATATCAAAACCTTCCAACTTATACGACAACCCTAAATTTCAAAAAGGTTTTCAAGGTTTCACTTTTTTTTAATTGGTACTATTGATTATTTTTTTAATTTATTTTAGGATCGAGTTATAAGTGTTCTTTCGCTCGAATGTTTATATTGGAAAAATGGCTCTCCTATCAAAGCGTCAATAACCAAGAGGAAAGGAAAGAGAAAGTTTTTGAAGCCCTGACACAAGCTACAAGCAGCAGTTACCGCTCGAAAAATTTTCCGAAACTCTGCTATTTCAGCACAAATTACTGGAATAGATAAGGCTCTTATTAACAAGTGTTACCACATCCTGCAGTACCTCCCGTGGGGTTATAAAATAGACACTAAAAAATTTAAAATTTATGCATTTGAAGTTGCGAAAAACCTAGATGGGGCATATCCGTGGTATAATTTACCACCATCTGTTCATAAGGTTTTAATCCATGGGTCCGAGGTGATTGATTTCGCAATCTTGCCAATTGGTGAGCTCTCCGAAGAAGCTGCCGAATCATGCAATAAGCTAGTGAGGCAATTTCGACGTTTCAACACTAGAAAAAATTCTCGTGTTTTCACCAATACTGACCTTTTGCACAGACTACTTCTTAATTCTGACCTTACATATCTAGCCTTCGAAAATTACCGTTCCGTTGAAATAAAAGAGTAGATCTTTGGTTTTAATGTTTTTAATTATTTCGAATAATTTTATTTACAATAAATATAAAAGAGCGATTAGAGAGGTCCCTATTCGTGGGGATGTAGCGAGCGATTAATTTTACATCTTTTCTTTTAATATGGTTAGGTTGCTAATCATATGTATGTACATATGTACACACATACATACATGTAGGTTATGAATACAGGGTAAGTATACATTTTGGTAACTATCTAAGCTTAAGTGTTTGAAGCTAAATACATAGCTCAATTTTAATATACATTTTAAGGTNATACATTTTGGTAACTATCTAAGCTTAAGTGTTTGAAGCTAAATACATAGTTCAATTTTAATATACATTTTAAGGCAAGTATTTTTAAGAAATATATTAAGGTATTTTTAAAGAGTATTCTAATTAGAAAATATCATGTTTGGATCCATGTCCTCAACATGCCGGCGGGCCTGCGGCAACGTGACATCTACGAGGTCTTGCAGTTCGATTGGTTGAACCACCCACGGATGCGCCGTTGGAAAGCGGGACGACTTTCTTGACTCCAAGTCGGTTGGGGCTTCGTGTCGGCTTGGGCTCGTCTCTGTAACGCCGCGGGACCTGTTAATATATGGTCGAAGTACGCTGTTAGTGTTGAGCATGAGAGTTGTAGAGAGAAAAAATGAGAGAGATATAAGGAGTGAGTGAGAAAAGAGTTTCCGCCGGGCTTTGAGACGGGTGCACTTCCGGTGTTGTGTGTTTACTAGCCAATGCACTTTTGGTAGCTCATGAGTAAATAATGTTTGAGATGATAGCTCATGAGATGCATTTTGTATAATCTTAGCTTCTGTTGAAGATTGCGGATAAGAGACGGATTTAAAAAATTGCGCGACCCATCATCGAGATATGGTGGAGTGTAACTGGTCACCATGTAACCAGTTGAAGGTGAGTTTGTTTCCTGGGTAATTTCTATTTGCTTCTGGGTTCGCAGAGCTTGTATTTCACGCCACCCAGCAGAGGTTAGTAGTGAGTATGATCTGGTCCTTGGGTTTGCAGTTTGGGGTGACTTCAGGGGTAGGTTGAGCTTGAGCTTTTATGCAAGCTTGCTTGAGTATGGCAATAACCGTAACGGTAGAACAGCACTTTTTGATAATGGAATTATTGCTGTCTATCACGATTGCGGTTTTTGATTCAAAGCATAATACGGCGAAATGAGACTATGATACTGCGGTACATCTGGCCTTGCAATTCCGGTTTCTACTGACTTCAACGAACTTTCTGCTGAGGAAGGCAATG